GATGTGGGATGATGGTGGTGATGATAAAGGCTGGGGTGGTCTGCGATCGTAGTCCGGATCCGGGAAATATGGTGCATCGCTCTTGTTTCCATCTGTCCCCACTGTAGAATCATGAGCGATTTCCTTCAGGAGTATCTCGTCTGCTTTTGCACAGTAAGGCAGTATTTGAATGTGATAGCTTGATAGCCGAACCTGCCCATATAAATTAGGTCATTGCCTGTTTTTTTTGCATGCTTCTGTCTTCTTTCTCACCTGCCGCTATGCCACGTAATCCCACACAGAAACGACCTTCACAAAGCAATCCTATGGTGGAAGCAGTAGAAGGCAAACGACAGTCTAAGCTGAGTAAGAAGATTCTTGAGGCTGCAAGTCAGGATGCTCCTGTATTGAAGCATCATGGTCGCCCTCCCAAGCAAGTGCCAGGACAAAGCGACTTAAATACTGATGTCCATGGTGACAAAGCTAAAGTAGGCCCTTTCAACCTTCTCTCTTCTAACGAGTCTGAATAATAATATGTTGCATTGCAGCATACTTCAGTCTGGGTTGATGAAGGAGCTCTGGCGAAACTTCAAGACAAGAACAGAGTTGATGGTGGGATTCATGTGGCTCAAGAGACTAAGGTGCTCTTCTTTACTGTTCTCTTCATATTTACTCATTATCTTTGAAGCATTATAAAGATTTTTGTCAACACAAAGGGTCCAGTGTAAATGCACTCACACTGGGAAGTGCTACAATCATCACAAATTCTGAAGATGACTGTAACGAAAAGAACAACGACGAGGTATTGTCTTTGTCTGTGACAGTATTATATGATTTCTTATTCCTAGTTGAAGCCTGTTGTCCTACATTGCAAGCGTGGTCGCCCTCCGAAAGCTGCTAATGCAATGCAAATGGAGCCAGCAAGTGAAGAGGTATACTGATAATTCATGTGCGTGATTTCTTTCTCATGCTGAAGCAATTTGTTGCTAAGGGGGCTGTTTTCCCGCCATCCGGGCCAGCTCCTGTTCTTACCAGTTTGAGCGACATTGGTGCCTTTGACGATGAATTAGCAGAAGATACGCTTGCGCAAATTCTTGCGGACGGTATTGCAAATGATACAATCACCTTGTCTGAATCCGATCCCGAAGAAGATGATGGTAACAGGTTTTGTCTTCTCCATGGGGATTAATCCAAGCTAATAAAAATGAAGGTGATATATTATTGCCAGTCACATCAAGCCTGCATGTACACGAAAGCACGCCACATGTGCGCAAGGCGACTGGACACCTAAAGGTCAAGGTCAAGGTTCACGATAGGGTTGCGGAGCGGAACATAACCATATCCTCTTTGGACCAATACGTTGACATTTTGGAGACAACAGTCCAGGCAATGAAGCGACCTAACCATTGTGTCGAGATAGGATATGAGGCTCCCTGGAGCTCAAAGGTAGGGACGAAAAGAAGCCTTGCATACATATCCAACTCGGATGAACTTGAAGAGTTTTGGAATGCCTACCGTAGGTATATGAAGAGTCAACAGAGCAAACGCCGCAAGCGTAGTGAAGAGATTGTCTGTGGGATAATATTCTGTAACATGTTGGATGCTGCCCAGGTAATATATTTCTCATTTCATTGTAAAAATTCAGTTGCTTAGCAGATTTTCCTACAGAACCATGGGAAAGCAGCAAGCTGTGCAACAGATGCACCTAGGGGTAGACCATTAAAACAGACTGACCCAACATTTGCTGCAAGAGCTTCTGCAGATGACAAAGTCATTCAGACAATAAAATGTATTCAAGCAGGGATGTTCTGTCAAGTACACAATTGTATTTGTTATGGGAAGTTTGATGGAACTTGCAGTGTCTACACCCCAGATCATATTCTAGAACATGTACAAAGACTTGTGAGTGTTATGTAGGACTGTTTGATTCTTTTGCTAGGCTGACTGTACTTACTTCCTAAGCATGCAGGGAAATGCATGTTGTTCCAAACAAGGTCCCAGAGTCAATGTTATCAAAATTACTTGATTTCAAGAGGGTGAATAGGTTGGTGTAAAAAGTTTTGCTCTCAAGCAATGCTAGCAAAACACAGGTAGCTGCTAATGTGCCACTCATACAATCTGTACAGGACACTTTAACTTACACACAATACAAAGGGCCTCTAGACTATCTAGCAATCAGGACCTAGTTAAAAGTGTGTAAAGATGATTTTGAGTGTAGGTGGGACAAACATGAATATACAATACTAGTGCCCATGTTTGACACAAACAGCTGTACAAGGATTGATAATATTACTTGGATGAGTGTAGACAGAATCAAGATGTTAGTAGAAGCTTAAAGTATAAATGTGACAATTGGGCTCATTAACTGTGTTTATACATATGTAATAGAGGATGTTACACATGTTAATGTTACAGTTCTCTACTCTTGCACCTTCAGTTCCAAGGGTTCTGCACCATTCTGTACTAGAACTTGGGACTTCCATCCTTTAAGAGTACTGTCTATAGACTATGTACAGACTGACTCTCACTATTACCCCTCCTTACTTTATTATTCTGTTCCTTTGACCACCCTTTCATTCTCTGTTTATTCTATAGTCTCTTACTCTTTGTCTATCCCTTCATTCTTTGTACCTTTATCTTTAACCTTCCTTTATTTCATTCTTTATAGCTTATTATTCTTAGTAGCTTATATTCTCTAAGTACTCTTGTATAATTTAGTATATATAAGTATACAAGATTAGACTAGTCCTATAGTCTTAATCTTGTCTACTCTAAGTAGTCCTGTACTCTTAGGCTTACTCTATATACTCTACTCTTGTCTTACTCTCTCTCTCTGTCTGTTCTACAAAGTTCTAACTATACTCTAGTGTTTACATTCTGTATTTCTGTTGTGTAGAATAGTTGTAGTCTAGGTCCTCTTACTAAGCCTTTAGGTCCCCTCTATACTGTTACTAACATTAGATTAAGACTACTTATTACTACTCTACAACTCTTCTACATTTTAAACATTAGTACTTACTATTGTGTCAATCTCTTTTCTTTGTCCCAACCCTTTTACATTTTTAAATTTTAAACTTTCTAAACTCTTTTAAACTTTTACTACTCTTCTTTTATTTATTACCCCTTTTAGTTTAGTGTTGATTCCTTTGTAGTATAAACATAGACCCTCTTACACTAACTGCTACTCCTACTGTCCTACCAGATTAGTAGTTATGAGTAGACTTAGCTTAATATGTGTAGACCTCTATCTAAGAGGCTTTTACTAACTATATACTCTTAACCCTCTTAGAACCTGTTTTAATTGTTCTGAAAGTTGTAACCTGTTCTAGAAAGAAAGTACATATAAGTTACTCTTTAGACTTTAATAAGTAGTACTTTAAGGACTTCTAGTACTAAGTCAAATTATATATAGCTACTACTTTAACTAATCTATTCTTAGATCTTAATCATATTCTATTTGTCTTCTCCTTTATGAAGGAAGGCAACACAGTCACCTAGGCCTAGAACTGGATTGAAGGCTATTAGATTAGAAGCCTGATTCAACTTTAGAACAATGAGTTATACTCAGAATTTATAAGACAGCTCTGTACTTCCTTTATTAATCTAAATAAAAAGTATAATATGTAGAACAAGTTTGTGTCTCTGTAACAGAGCAAACATTCTACTAATGCCTTCTTTTAGGAGTTTAATATCCTAGTCTAAAAGGTAGGATTCATACTCAGGTTTAATAATGTTCTTATTAGAATACTTGAAAAAGCTCTCTACCTAGAATTAGTTAATAAGATTCTTAGAATAATACTAGAACTGATTACTTACACTAATTAGAAGATACATACTATTTTCTTTGACTAAGCTGTAGCTCAGATGTATTAAGTCTGTATAAAACACTTATACATGTGTTTGACTCTAACAGTTCTAAGCTCTCAGATTAATCTACTTATAATTCATAATCAATCTATTCTAATAAACATTAGAGAAGCTTAAAAGTAAGGAGTATACTTTACTTATAGAAAGTTAGAGCACTAAATTAAGAACTGTTTATAGAAGTAATAGTATATCTGTTAAGTTATTAGAGTAATAATGAGTGACAAGTAGGATTTGTAGTAAAAAGCCTTTTCTACAAATTTAGAAGTCACCTTAGAACTCTTAGACTCTGACTATATACTCTAGGATTCTGTAGAGGCCTAACAGTAAATGTAGTACTAAAGGGCTATGACTCAGATTTTTTAACAGTCACTTTTGATTTAATAAATACTATAAAATTAGAAGTAAATAAAGTAAGAAAAGTAGAAAAAGTAGAAAAAGTAAATTAACAAAATTATTTATTAAAAAGGAAAAAGTCAAAAACAAAAGTAGATAGTTCCCTTATTTCTTCTGATTCTTTTGATTCTTCTCTTCACACTTTATCTGAGTCTAAATCTGTACAATCTGACTTACTACTTTTACATTCTGAGAGCTTAGAATGTTCAGAATGTTACTCAGCCCTGTTTACTACTTAGTAGTTTGTCTATAGTATTAAGTAGAGATAGTTTTAGCTAAGTTCTTAGTTGAGAACATAAGTCTGTCCTTGTTGAAAGAGAGAGGTTAATAAGGAAATATTAATACATATACTTACTCTTTTAGACAACAAGACTGTACAAGCTGTACATTCCCTTTAGAACAAGTAGTAATTTATTAGAGAACATTCTAGACACTAACTCTAAGTTCCTATCCTCTTAACTCTCTTCTTAAAGTCCTCCCAGATCTAAACAATAGCTCTAGTAGATAGTAATTACACTAGTTTGTATATTAATAAGGTCTTTGTATAGAAACACTATCTCTCTACTTAATACATTCTGCTTCCAATCCTAGTATATAATGTAGACAGAACTCTAAACTAGAATAGTCAGATTACTAAGTGTTAACATTTATTTCAGATAAATGCATCATATGTCTCAAATCACACAAACGTCTCACAAATATATGCTATTGCTGAGACATGTCTTCTGAGACATACATCCAAGACATACAATATTAGATAGCATATATATTACTTTAATCTAAGGACAATGAAGCTCATTAAGAACTTATGCACAGTCAACTTGTATTGACACCTACACACTATGAGCAGAGTCCACTGAACCCCTACTAGTGTGACTTACTCTTAGTATCCTTGTGAGTGGTGTGCAAACCTACAGAAGAATATTTCCTATCAATTAGGAAACATTGTGACCTCAACATGCTAACAGGTTATGAGCCTTGTGCTCCCTGCTCATGTCTACATTGTTACTACACTTTTATCTTACCCTCTACAAACACAACTCTTCAAAATCATCATCTAAATGATTATGATTCCTCCTCACTGGCTATATGCATGACTATATGTATTACAATTGTCATTACAAATGCTTCAGTGTACTATATACTATAGTACAAATGATATGATATGCTCAATCATACTAAACTTGATAAGTATCATTGAACTACTCTATTTAACACTGAATCAATTTGATTCTACACATACAATCCATTCTAATCGTCTACAAACCTTTAGCACTCTCATCTGAGCATACCAAATGCAAATCGTCTTGTCTGGAAGACTACAATCACTTTATACAACAAGATATGATACAATACTCGTAACCAGAACGTATTATCTATGTGGACCTAGACACACTTGTCTGAGCATCCCAAATGCACATTGATTTATTAAACTAATGAGACATGTATCAGATACATGATACAAGACATATATTGGATACAGACAATGTATTGGATGTCTAAGACATACAGACAGATGAACTAGTTGCTTTAAATGTAATGAGTACTCAATAATACTATATCTAAATGCTGAATTACTTCATCTTATGCTACAGAGACACATTATATTAATAACGTCTCACATAACAAACAAACATTTGATAGTATATCAATAATATAAATGATTAATACTATAAACGAAAGAACAATGCTAGTGAAGCATAATAACAATATAAAGAAATATATTGCAAACGTATAATCAATCTAATAATGATTAGACAAACGAATAAAACGAAAACAAGAGTATAAATGCTACTAAAGCATAATAACTTGAATATAAAAACAATTTATACTATCACAAATGAACAATCACAATAAATAACATATATTTACGAAATACAAACATATCACATAGATAAACAAATATACAAACGTACAAAGTAATAATAATGCATTCAAATGCATAAAACTATTAATTGTTGAATAACACAATGTTGTATGCAAAATACAATTGAATGAACACATAATAACACATAAAACAAGTAATAAAACATACGAAACAATGTTGCAAACAGTCTAAACATATAATAACAAACATATATACTTATACAAAGTATTACATTAAATTAAAACATAATGCTACAAACAATGAAACAATATAATGATGCATATATGCATAATATCAACACAATATCAATACTATACAGACAAATACATATCTTATACCTTACACAATTACTATTACAATACAAAATTGAACAAACGATAGTTACAAATACATTGTAACAATATAATATATTAATAAGATATACATGATAATGAAGTATTAAGTCAATACAATTAATACAATTAGTATAAACAATATAAACAATTAAATATCACTTAAAAACATGACAAAATACAATAATACAGAT